AGATTCAATGATCTCATTAAAGATTTAGAAGTGCTGGAAAAGGAATACCTCTAGGTGAGAAAAATATAAAAATTCTGAATACCTTATCCAAGGATTGGGAGAGTAAGGTGACTGCCATTGAAGAAACTAGATATATAAATTTCATGCCTATTGAATCTCTCATTAATTTTCTAACCTCTTATGAGCTGAAACTCAAGTCCAAAGTGCAGGAGGAAGAAGATGCAAAGGTGAGAAAGAGCATTGCTCTAAAGGTCTCGCAAGATAAAGATGACTCAGCTTCCTTGGATGGAAACGATATGGAAGGTAATGGCAGTGACATTGCACTCATCACAAGAAAGTTCAAAAGAATTCTTAATAACAGAAGATTCAGAAAAGGAGAACCTAGCAATCCATTCCCAAATCAGCTCAACAACTCAAGGAATAAAGGGAAGCAAGAGTTCAATAAAAAGCAAACTGACAAATGCTTTGAGTGTGACCAACCTGGACACTATGCGAGTGAGTGTCCAATGAAGAAAAAGAAAGAAGGAAAAATTGAACGAAAACCAAAGTTCAGCAACTTTCAAATCACCTGAAATGACTGCAATTCAGAAGGTGAAATCGAAAAGAAGAGGAATCTGCTCAAATGGCTTTCATGGCCATTGGTGATGAAGAGGTAACTACTTGTAACTCTCAAACTGATAGTGATAATGAATCTGATGATGATGTTAATTCTTTTATGGAAAAAATGCATAATAATTTGAAAGAATCTTATGTTAGAAACAAGGAACTAAAATAAAAAATCAATTTTCTGATTCAAGACAATGTAAATCTTTTCGACAAAACAAGAATCTGAAAAATGAAAATGAAAATCTGAGAAGGATTGAAATGGATCTACATGCTGAACTCGATAGAAAAACAAATTTTTGTGACATGTTTAGAAAGGAACAAGATAGTTTAAAAAGAAAAATGGATGATCTTAATCAGTTGCTTCAACATAAGAAACAAAACTGCTTTCAAAGGAATGATACAAAACCTCATTTTGGATTCATGGGAAAAGGTTGAATTCTGGTGCAAACGAATTTACCATTTATAAGAGAAGGTAAATCAGATTTGTTAAACCTGTCCATGCGAGTAACTCACTGACTATGTGCAGGTTTTGTTGTCAAATTGGTCACATGAAGAGTAATTGTTATGTGAGAATGAATATGAGAAATGGTATGAAATGCATGTGGATAGTTCGGCATAATACTGATTCTCAAGAATCCAAAATATAAAGGGTACCAAATATTATCTTGTGAACTTTTATGTAGGTGAACTTGGTGAATATTATAAAGGAATCAAAATGGTTCATAGATAGTAGATGCTCAAGACATATGACTGGTGATCCATCACAATTCATCAAACTCAAGCCAAAAGCAAGCGGAAAGGTAACTTTTGGAGATGATAACAAAATCAAAACTGTTGGAATTGGTGATATTGGTAAGAATGGTCAAATATTTGTTCACAATGTTCTTTTAGTTGACAATTTGAGCTATAACTTATTAAGTGTTAGTCAATTGTGTGATAGAAATCTGTTTGTATTATTCAAAAAGCATAAATGTCTTATTCTTGATTCAAAGTTAAACACTATTTTCAAAGAAAAAAGAGTCAATGACATCTATGTAGTTATTCTGAAAAATGTGGATTCGTCTAGTCTTAAATGTCTTAAAGTTGCTAATGAAAACCCTTGGCTGTGGCATAGTAGGTTTTGTCATTTCAACATGGATTTGTTAAAAGAGATTTCCAAAAAGGAACTTGTTAGAGATTTGCCAAAAATTAAATTTGAAAAAGACAGAATTTGTGATGCTTGTCAATTTGAAAAACAAGTCAAAGTTTCTTTTAAACCCAAGAAATGCTTTTCTACCACAAAACCTTTGGAAATTTTACATCTTGATTTATTTGGTCCTACACAAACGACTAGTTTAGGTGGCAAAAAATATTACTTTGTTGTTGTTGATGATTATTTTAGATACACTTGGGTGATATTTCTTGCACACAAAGATGATGCTTTCAATTGTTTCATTATTTGCAAAGGTTCAAAATCTGATTGGTTTGAAAATCATCAAGATCAGAAATGATAATGGCACAAAATTTCATTTTTGTGACTTTCCAGAATTTTGTGATAACAATGCAATTACACATGAATTTTCAATTGCAAGAGTTTTTCAACAGAATGGGGTTGTTGAAAGAAAGAATAGAACACTTCAAGAGGCTGCTAGAACCATGTTAAGTGAGTGCAATTTGCCAAAATATTTTTGAGCTGAAACCATAAATACCGCTTGCTATACTATGAATAGAGTTCTTTTAAAACCAATCTTGAACAAAATCTCTTATGAGTTGATGTTTGATAAAAACCCTATTGTTGAATACTTCAAAGTCTTTGGCTGTAAATGATTCATTTTAAACATCAAGGAACATCTTGGTAAGTTTGATAAAAAATCTGATGAAGGAATTTTCTTGGGATATTGCGAGAATAAGAGAGATTTTAGAGTTTATAATCGAAGAACTCTGGTTATAGAGAAATCTATACATACTACTTTTGATGAATGTAATGATGATATTTTCAAAAGTTATGGTGAGGATGATGATGTAAGTGCTCAAGAATGACTAAAGAAACTCACAATCAATGATCAAGACACTGCTTCACCAGAAAATGACTCAAAAGAAAATGATACTCAAGACAGTCCAGTACTGGAAGACAATGACAGAGATGTTAGTACACCTAACAATCTTCCAAGAACCTGAAAATTTGTTCAAAACCATCCTAAAGAGCTCATCATCGGTGATCCATCAGAGAATGTCAGAACTCGTTCTTCCTCTAAACAATTGATGGATAATTTTGCATTAGTCTCACATTTTGAACTCAAAAATATTGTTGATGTTTTGAAAGATGAGAACTGAATTTTAACTATGGAAGAGAAGCTAAATCAATTTGAAATGAACAAGGTTTAGACATTAGTTGAAAGATCTCAAGATCATCCTATCATTGGCACAGAATGGATTTTTAGAAACAAAATGAATTACAAATGTGAGGTAGTAAGGAATAAGGCCAGACTTGTTGCTAAGGGATATGTTCAAGAAGAAGGAATAGATTTTGACGAAACATTTGCACCCGTAGCTAGGCTTGAATCTATTAAAATATTTTTACCCTTTGCATGTTTCAAGAATTTTAAACTATTTCAAGTGGATATTAAAAGTGCTTTCTTAAATAGTTTTATTGAGCAAGAAGTATATGTTGATCAATCTCCTGATTTTGAAAATGAGATTTATCCAAATCATGTGTTTAAATTCTCAAAACCTTTGTATGGATTAAAACAAATTCCAAGAGTATGGTATGAACATTTAAGTGATTTTTTTGATTGAAAATGGTTTTAAAAGAGGTATTATAGATACTACTTTTTTCATTAAATAAAGTTCACGTGATCTTTTGATTGTGCAAATATATGTGGATGATATTATGTTTGGTGTTACTAATGAGAGTTTGTGAAAGAATTTTTTCACAATTATGCCAAAAGAGTTTGAAATGAGTATGATGGGAGAGTTAAATTTCTTCTTTAGGCTCCAAGTGGTTCAAACCCGAGAAGGAACCTTTATTAATCAAGCCAAATACACCAAGAAGCTGCTCAAAAGATTTGGGATAAAAAATTCAAAGCAAGTTGGAACATCTATGTGCACATCTACCAAGTTTGATAAGGATGAAGAAGGTACAAAGATTGATGAAAAGAAGTATAGAGGTATGATTGGTAGCTTGCTTTACTTAACTGCCAGTAGACCTGATATCATGTTTGCTGTGTGCTTGTGTGCTCGTTTTCAGTCCTGTCCAAAGAAATCTCACTTGAATGCGGTAAAAAGAATTCTTAGATACCTTAAAAGAACTTTAAATTTTGGCCTATGGTATCCTAAGTATCATAAATTTCCTTTATCTGGATTCTCGGATGCTGATTTTGGTGGTTGTAGGATAGATAGAAAAAGTACAACGGATATATGTAGCTTTCTTGAAAACTGCTTAGTATTTTGGTTTAGTAAGAAGCAAAATGCTATTCTTTGTCTACAATTGAAGCGGAATATGTTACCGTCGGTGCTTGTTGTGCTCAATTATTGTTCATGAAAAATACATTGAATGATTTTGGATTAATGTATGATTGTGTGTCTATGTATTGTGATAACACTAATGCCATAAATTTGACAAAAAATTCCATTCAAAATTCTAGGACAAAGCACATAGACATAAAGTATCATTTCATTCGCGATCTTGTCCATAAGGATGAAATTTGTGTTCAATATGTCTGATCAAAAGATCAAATTGCTGATATTCTCACAAAAGCCCTACCACTAAATTAATTTGTATTTTTGAGAACAAAATTGGGTGTTTCAAAAAAAATATTCTAAAAATTCTCTGATCACTCCTTATCGAACGTCCGATGTGTTAGAAAGTTCTGGTTCAGATGGATGTGTAGGACGCTCTACCTCGTTCGGCCGTCCAACACTAAAAAATTGTGTCTTATAAGGAAGTCCTCTGCGTCATTCAATTCATTCTTACCCTTTGTCTCGGACGCAACTCTTCATATTCTCTCACTTTCAAAATTCAAATTCATCTCTCTTCGGATCAAGTTCCAAGAAATTACTCTGACTGACACCATTACATTCCTATTGCGCGTTTATTGCTCATCATAACTTCTCCCAACTGCCAACTGCACTATAAATCTTAATTCTCACCCAAAACCCTAGCCACTTAAATTCACTCTCTATGGACAGTTCAAGCATCCATTGTAGTTCATACTGCACTTTCCATCTTTTGATACTCATTTACATTACACTCTACAACAAAAAACACACTGCATTGCAATCATGGTGAGAATTAGAGGAGGATCTGTGAGTGTCGGACGCACCTTTAGGCTTAGAGATGAAGAGGATGAAAACGTTCAGATTGTTGAACCTTCTACCAAATCACCAAAAAGGAATCTGGAACTCGTGGTGAAAAAATGAAGCAGTTTGCAAAGAAGAATCAGACTGCTCGAACTAGAGAGCCATCTGATGAACAGATGGAGGAGCATCAAACTGAAGAACATCCAGTCAGTGGTAGTGAAGAACTGGAGCAACCCACCAATGCAGATGCATCCATGACAAAATCACCCAGGAAGGGAAAAAGGACCGCCAAAAGGAAAAGGATGGCTCAACCTAAGGAAAGGCAAACAGCTAATCCTTCTGGGGATCAGCAGGTTGCAGAGAAAAATGCTGGGGAACAGCAAATTGCTGAACCATCCACTAGGAAATCACCAAGGACAAGGTCTGGTGTCCAGAATACTGCGTCAACTGCTCAACGCATTGGAAAGAAAAAGCATCCTGCCAATGAGTAACCTAAGGTTCAAACTGCAGAGGAACCTACCCTCCTGCCTAAGTTCATTGATGATGATGCCAGGGAGAGGTTCGAATAGATCTCGCAGAAAGGTTTCATCACTCAGAGGACCATTATCCCTTACGAATTTCGTAAGCTTGACCTTGAATCTGTTCTCAATCTTTTTGAATTTAATAAATGGACCCATCTTCTGACCTTTCCAAACACATACTATCCTGACATGCTTCATCAATTCTTTGCCAATCTTAGGAAAGGTAGATCACACACTGATCTTGTTTCACGCGTCAATTCTATAAACATAGAGTTGAACCCTGACATTGTTAATATTGTTTTGGAAACTAAAATTGAAAATAATTTTAAAGAAAAAAATGCAAACTTCTTTTCATATGAAGAATTTCCTTTTGCATATCATCATTTTCATGTTGCTAAATTAATGAACTATTTTCAAACTCATTTTAATACTCCTGCTGAGGCGAGATTGGAGGATCTCAATCCTCAAAACTTGATCATCTTTACCATAATTTCGAATCTGTTGGTCCCTACTGATGGTCCTAGGGCTGATGCCAACAAAATAGAGATTTACCTGTTTTATTATTTTCTTAAAAAAAATTAGAATTGATTTTGATTTTGTTATGTGCAAATTCTTGCTCAAAATCAGCACTGATAACCGTAGGAAACTTTCCTATGAAAAATTTCTGACTCTTATTCTTGCTCATCTTGAAATTCTCTTTACTGAAAAATCACCAAAAGAAAGTGCATCAACTGTCTTCTCCAAAACTTATTTTAAAAGAAAAAATCTGAAATTTTTTGAGGGTCACTGGTGCTACAAGGAAACTGTTTCGAAGTCTAAGAGAAAGAATTTTCATGAAACTCCTGTTACCCTAGGACTCCTCAAGATCAGTCCATGTTTGTCTCACCTTTACTATCCATTCTAGAAAGTCAGCCGCTAAATCCTCTTCATCCAACTCTGAGGTTATTTCTTTGCTTGAGAACTTCAGACAACACATCCTACTCCTTGAAGATGGTCTGATGATGACCATGTCATCCGAGCAGCAAGCCACCTTCATTGGCAAAAGGAATCTGTTTTTGCCTCTCATTCCTCAAGAAAATGAAAACGCACACTGAAAGGAGCCGAGAACTGAGCCAACTACTGAAACTACTCCAGAATACCATGCCTCCAATTCTCAGCCACAGGACAAGGGAAAGACTCCAGCAACTGAAGAAGAAACTGATGATGATGATGATGATGATGATGATGATGATGAAAACACTGAAGAGGAAAAAGATCCTGCTCAATTCCGCCTAGCAAGAAGAAGGCTTGGATCCTCCAAGGTCACCATTTAGGCACTTCTAGCCAAATGTACCTCATGATTAGGATGGTAGTTCATAATAGACTTTTGGCATCTTCTGTATTTTAAACATTTCATGTGTTCTATATTAGGAATTTTATTTCCTTTCCTTTGCTAGTCTGTAAAACTATTTGGTTATCTTTTGTGGTTTGAATTAATGTTATTTTTATGGATTATCCCTTTGTTCTGGATGAATATGCCTAACTTTGTTTGACCTCTAATTTCTGATGTTGACTGCTGTTGACAATTGCTGGTTGCTGCCAATATTGCTGATACTGTGTTTTGGTTTCTAGTTTTTGCTGATAATGGTTGATAATTGTTGATTGTATTGCTGATTGATTATTGGCCTCTGGTTGATCTAATGATGACAAAAAAGGGGAGAAATGGATACTGGTTTCCAATGAGGTCAAGTGTAAAAAAGAGAAGTCACTCTAAGGAGGAGTTTCTAATGAGTTGAAGGGTAATAAAGGAAAGTCACTCTATGGGGGAGTATTCACACGTAAGAGGATATCACTCTGAGGGGGAGTATTCACTCCTCGATGCATTAAGTAAGGGGGAGTTATGCCTAAATTATTTTTCTCCATCCATTATTTGTCATCATCAAAAAGGGGAAAATTGTTTATCTCAATTCGTAACTTTTGATGATTACAAAACAAATGAATGTTACTAATGTTCTCTAAATAGACTTTTTCAGAAATGAAGCAAAACAGGGTCAAAAATTAAGTACAAAGGATGCTGAAACTACTGTCGAACGCACAAGAAGACTGGATCGGACGTCCAACAACCTTTGCGCAATTTCGGACGCATGAAAAACTTCACTCTCGGACGTCTGAAGATATTGAGTCATTCCTTCTAACCTCAATGACCTCAATTGGATGCACATTATTAGAGCACCAGACGTCCGGCAAACGTTGCGACACTTCGGAAGCAAAACTTTGGAAGCACCGGACGTCCGAAAAGAATTGAAGAAGAATTCTCAATTTCACGCCCTACCCTCGGATGCATACATTGAAGGTACTGGTCATCCGAAATAATTCAAGAAAAATTTCTTGAGCTCACTGCCTACTTTCAGACGCAGGAAAGTGGTCTACCGGACTTCCGACACTACTAACGACAAGTTGACTCTTCAACTGCCTTCTGTCCGTTGAAAGCATTAATTGAAAAACTTTTTAGTCCCATATAAATAGGACAAAGTCAACCACTTCCAAGCAACTTTGCACATTGAGACTATATTAGATCTAGAGTGATTCAAGTGTGAGAATACTTTTCAAAGAAGATTTGTATTCTTAGTTGTGTAATTTTCGATTAGTTTTTCAAGTGTGTTTCAATTACTCCAATAGTGTAGTTCTGTGAGCGTTATCCGAGTGATAGTAAAACTTCCTTGCTTGGCCAAGTGTGACTTGGGGTAAGGAGGAAGTGATCATTCCTTTGTACACAAAAGATTAGTTGTAAGTTGATCAACTTGAAGAAACTTGCTCTCTAAAGTGATATTCAAACTCAAGAGGAGTTGGTACTTGGTTTGATACTCTATCTCTTTTACTTACTGTCTTGATATATAAATTGCTCATCTCTTCTACTCACAAGCACTTGTGCTTTCTCATCAATTGCTCCATTGTATGATTTTTTAGAAAAAGAGGGCAAGTACTCAAAAAGTGACTTATAATTTGGCCAGTTTTTAACTACCTAATTCATCCCTCCTCTTAGGTTGTCTTCGATCCTTACAGAGGTACTGAGATGGAAAGAGAGGCACCTCTCACTCGAATTGAATGCGGTACACGCTACCGCTCAACACTTACAAGGCAAGTATAAGTACAAACGCAAGTACAGGTCACTCAAATTCAAGCAAGTACAAGATTATTCATGAAAGGGTGGACGAGTGTGATAAAATACACTCTCGCCTTATCAAGTTTAATATTCAACACATAACACGTGGCATCATTCAAATCAAGATATCAAGAAACATTCACTTGACACTCACCACAACCAAAAGCAAATAAGTAAGCAAGTCCTTTACGGTTCCGCACCGGGATTCCCTTCAAAATTTTCTTGGACACCTGAAACAATTTCAACCAATAATCACTAAATGTAAACCATCTTTAGCCAAATCCCCCCTTTAAACCATCACTCATGTACACTCTAAATTACTTAGAACACAAGGAGGAAAAATTCATTCACTTAATCAACTAAGGCAATACATCAAGAGAAATTTAAATCCTTCAAAAATCACCATTCAAAACGAGGGGTTAAAGTCACAAGAGATCTTGTATCCACCCATAAAATCAAACTTAAAAAGGACTAACAATTTCAAAGGAAAGTTGGAAGTTCTCAAAAGAACAATTTTGTTTTAAACCAGAAAATTCAGCATTGCATGATGCTACTTGAAAAGTCATATGTTGAGTTACGTAAGTCCAAAAATCACAAATTTTATACCCTTGAAAACTAGATTCAAAGCACTACAATTGTCTCGAAAACACTTTTGTAAGATTTAATCCACAAGTAGGTCAAATTTTGACCTCAAATTACAGATTTACCAAGTTTAAAAGCAAATCAGGTTTGAATTTCAGTCATTTTTGTGAAATTTCTGGCGCTTGTAGAAATTGAGTAAAAATCTAAAACTTACAAGGTTGACAGAATTCTATGTCTAGCTTCAAACGCTACAAATAGAACTCGATTTTGATTTTTCTACTCCAACATATCGAGATTTTTCTAAAGCTGATTAGCAAGACCTGTGAAAATTTTTCAGAAAAATAGGGCTGCAAGAACTCCACTCTTTCGACTTTTTAAGTTCAAAATTTTTGCTCAACCCACTCACACATTTATAGATTAATATCGAATAAAGATTATTGAGTTAGATTTCACCACAAAATTCAAAAATAAGGGCTGAAAACCAGCTGATCAGATTGACCAGCACACAAGGAAAATTTTCAGAACTTTGTCCTCCAACAAATCACATCCAATATTCATCCAATGCATGAGATTTCTACAATAAACACAAACCAACATATATCAAGTCTTATAACATCAAAATCTACCATAACTTTCATCACAAAACATGAAAGATCCTCAAGTCATCTAGCCTAAATTTTTTTAGGGTTCAAGAGACCCTTTCATAGCAACCAACATCTATTACTAATTCTTGTATGAAATCAAAGATCAAGTAGAGTGGAGTTAATTACTTCTTCCAAACTTTTTCAACCCTAACTAAGTCCAAGTTTTGCACCACCAAATTCACCAAGAACCACCACAAGACAAGGCCTTTGTTTAAACTTGAACAACTTCCAAATGTGAATAAAGATTTGGGAGATTTTGGAGCAAGATTTTGTAGTTGGAGAAGGAGTTTTTTCTTCCCCTCTTTTGCAACCTCAAGATTTGGCCAAGGAGAGAGAGAAGAAAGGAAGATGAAGGCTTGGATGATGATTTGAAATGAAATGAAAGTTGGCACTTTAGTTGTTGAAGAAGTCAACTAGGAATAGTTGCAAATAGTGCCATGCACTCACTAGTTTTTCTCTTGTTTCTTACTCTTAAATACTAATCTCCCAAGATAGTGTCTCTTACTCCACTAATACTCACTCTTACTAGTCCGAGATTAACTCTCTAAATCACCAATTAATCGTGCCGGTGCGACTTTTGTAAAATTTTTTTGACGCGTAAGCGATAAAGATATGATTTAAATAAAGTTTATGCTAAAATGATAAAATTAAATGACATACCAGTGCAAATAATTTAAAATAGATTAAATTAATATTAAAAGTGCGAGTTCTCACATCATCTCTCCCTTAAAAGGAATTTCATCCATTAAATTCATATCTTGATTCGAAAATAGGTTTGGATACTTCTTTTGAATCTCTTTTTCTATCTCCCAAATTGCTTCCTCTATTCCATGATTCTTCCATAGGACTTTTACCAAAGGGATTTGCTTATTTCTCAGTTCTTTCACTTTTCTGTCCAGAAACTCCATTGAGTTCTCCCTATAAGTTAATGCCTCATCAATATCAATATTCTCTGACTGAAGTATATGGAATGGATCCGGATGATATTTCTTGAGCAAAGATACATGAAAAATATTATGGATTCGGGACAAATTTGGTGGTAACTCTAATCTATAGACCACGTTTCCCACACGTTGAAGAATTTTATAGGGTCTTACAAATTTTGGTTGCAACTTCTTTTCTCTTTCTGTCATCAAACTTGTTTTTAAGGGAGTGATCTTAAGGAAAACATGGTCTCCAACTGCAAAGTCCAAATCTTTCCTTCGATTATCTGCGTAACTCCTTTGGCTGCTCTAAGCCGTTTGAATTTTTTGACGTATCAACTTAACCTTTTCATATGCCTCTTCAATTCATGGTACTGTAGTTGGGTATAAGACCTTTTTTTCTCTTATTTCATCCCAACAAAATGAAGATCGACACTTTCGCCCATAAAGAACCTCATAAAGAGTCATTTGAATAGATAAGTGAAATCTATTATTATAAACAAACTCCACTAATGTTAAGTATTGACTCCAATTTTTTTCAAAATTTAAAATACATGATCTTAGCATGTTCCCAAGAGTTTGAATGTCCTTGCTGACTGTCCACATGTTTATAGGTAGTAGGTAGTACTAAATCTCAGCTTAGTTCCTAGCATCTCTTGCATCTTTTGCCAGAATCGAGAAACAAATCGAGGGTCACGATCGGACATTATACTTACTGATGTCCTATGTAATCTTACAATTTCATCCAAACACAGTTTGACCAATTTCTTCAGGTAGTACTTTATGCTAATCAGCAGAAAATGAGCAGACTTGGTCAATCTATCCACTATCACCCAAATGGCGTCGTGACCTCTTTGTATTCTTGGTAATTCAGATACAAAATTGATGGTGATATTTTTTCACTTCCACTCAGGTATTTCCAAAGGTTGCAATAGACCAGAGGATTTTCGATGCTCAGATTTAATTTGCTGGCAAATCAAACAAGTCTGGACAAATTGGGCAATTTTCTTCTACATATTCTC